CCCCCCACCCCGAACCCTAAGATAGATATTGAGGTGATGACGGCGAGTCCCTTCCCTATCTCCGGCGAGGTCTTTCCTTATCTCCGGCGAGGTCTTTCCTTCGTTCAAAAATCGGCTGACCCCAAACTGGAAAACCAATCGACTGACAAGTAGCTAATTCGGAAAAAAAATTGCATCAACAGTGTGGTTGGTTCCCTGTGAACATTTTTTTCTATAAATAATTCATGACGAATATTCCATATTATGTGGGAATATTCCATAGAGGATTTTAATATGTTGAATGAAAATGTTCAACCTATTTGTGAAATTGTTCGACAAATAACAAAAGAATAACAAAATAGTACCACATCATTTCTATATTTTCCCGCCTCCTGTTGCATAGATACAATACAAGCAAAATAAATCTCCCATAAGAATACACTCGAGAATGTGTGATACAAATTCTGAAGCAGCACGGTACTACGTACTGTAGACCTCGCTACGTATATATATAAAAACCTAAACAGACGTTAGCCAGCCGACGCCCGCGGCCGGGTCGGCGTCCGAGCGGCAGATCGGGCACGTCGAGTGCGCCTCCAGCCACGGGTCGATGCACTCCGCGTGGTACAGGTGCAGGCACGCCGGCAGCAGCCGCACCGTCGATCAAGGACGCCACGACGCCGATGAGGAGGCCGGCGAGTATCCTGCCTTGAGTGGACTATGGCTTGGCACTGGACGGCGGCGGCGGTGGTGAAGGATGGAATGGCCACCACGGTGGAGGAGGAGAAGCAATGGGGACGAAGCCCGGGGGCAATTGAGCCATTGGTGCGAGTGGTTCGCAACTGCTGTTTGCGGTATGGTTTAAGCAAATTATAAGAAGACTCTGTCAGGGAAGAATTATAAGCCGAATAAAAGCAACTAGTTGCAAGCCTGTGGTCAAAGGGGTTAATTAATGATTGTTGATTCAGGGCCAAATGCGCGTCCAATGAAGGGGAAACTGCGGCACAAAACCGAGCGACGTCGCGGCACTGCTGCGTCGACGTCATGGGCTTCGCTCGGCGGCATCCTTCGGCGACGTTGAGGAGATGAAGGTGGGTGGACTGCGGACATACCCAATTCCAATTGTAAGCGAAAAATGCATCCCTTCACATAATGACACACTTTTTTTTTGCGGGAGCTACATAATGACAGCTCAAATGATAAGTGTGACACGAAGCACTCTGGCCTTGACGTTTTTGACAACTAAAAGTTGTCATCCGAAAAAAAAACTAAAGCTTGCCATTTGAAAATGAAATTGTTATGCTTAACAGGTAATGTTGACATCCTTCTGTCGTTAAACTTATCGTAAAAAACGTTCAGAGGTGTCATGTGTTTGTGCAACATGTATGACACTTATAAGGGCCCTCTTTCAGATGGTTCGGCAATGCCATTGCGGACGTTCTCAACAGTTCTACTGGAGAACCGTGTAGTAAGAAGGTTTTCAGAAGAAGGGAAAAGAAAGGCTATCACCCCCACAAATATCTGATCCCCAGACAAAACCGGGAGAGTGAGATCTTCAAGACATTGGAGATCAAATGACCATCAGGACGTCCACAAAATACTACTAGCAAATAGGACAGATGCATCATTTGGAGATTCCAATCTTATGTCGCCCAGATAATTGAGTAGACGTATTTTTCAATATATACAGAAAGCAAAATCAATCTAACAAAATTAACACCCCTCAAAATGTGCATCTAGCTATACAGCGGCCGGGTCGGTGTCGGAGCGGCAGAGCGGGCACGTCGAGTGCGCGTCCAGCCACGGGTCGATGCACTCCGCGTGGTACAGGTGCAGGCACGCCGGCAGCAGCCGCACCGTCTCGCCGACCTGCATCGCGCCGAGGCACACCGAGCACGTCGCCGCCTCCTCCCCTCCGCCACTCACGTTGTGCTTCACCGACAGGCTGTACGTGAACGCCGGGAGCCCGGCCGTCGGGCTGACGGCGCAGGCCCGGTGAAGCTGCCGCACGTCGACGCGCACGCCGCCGCTCTCCGTCAGGTTCTGCGCCCGATCGGCTGCGGCCACGCTCTGCGCCGGAGCGGCCGCGGCGCGGGCGCGGCTGTTGCGACGCCTCTTGCAGAGGCTGCACACGGCGAGGCCAACGAGCAAGCAGGCGACGAGGCCGCCGAAGGTGCCGGCGACGGTCCTGCCTTGAGACGAACCGCCGGACGGTGGCGGCGGCGGCGGCATGGAAGGACGGTATGGCCACGTCGGTGGAGGGAGGGGAAAGCCGGGGAAGCCCGGCGGCCACCGAGCCATCGGTGCGTGTGTAGCAAAACTGCAAACTAACTCTATCGTTGTCTGCTGGTTTTATAATCTTGAAGCAAAAAAAAAAAAAAATTCGGAGCGCAACTTCATGGAAACTGACCCCGTGGACAAACTGACAGCCGACGTTGAAGCAAATTATTTTCTTCTCTGCGAAACGAAGGGGAAATCACGGGACTCGGCACGGCTTCGCCTCGCTTGCACGCTAGGGTAACTGGGTGGTGGCGGTAAGCTGACGTTGCCAAGGCTGTGGTGTTGGAGATCAGCAGGTTAGATAGAAGAACTGGCATGCTACAGCGAGATCATATGGGCGAAATCATCTTCAGCTCGTGCAGACATGCATCTTTCTTCATGTGATGATGTACTCCAGTGTGAAATTCTAGCTATCCGTGAGGGGCTTATGTTAGCACTACAATGGAGCAATCTTCCAAGTGATATATAGAGTGATAACTTGGTGGCTGTCAGCATGTTGAAGAGCGGAGACACAAACAGATCAAAGTATGCTTTTATCATCCAGGAGATTAAAGCAAGTATGTCAGAACGTAGTTCTAGTATTATTCATGTTCGTCGTGATTGTAATTCCTCTAGTCATACTTTAGCATAGTTTGGTAGGACTCAAGGCCAGACTATATGGTATGGCTCGGGTCTGGTCCAAAGGACGTTTTGGACGTTGTCCGCAAAAAAAGATAGAAGAAGCTGTTTTTTTTCGTGTAGACGGGAGACTGTCGCTTCACTTCACTTCCCGTTTACACACGATTTTGAGCTGAACTGGGTCTCTACTCTGGTCCTGCAACAGGTACCGTGTTATCCGGTTACAACCGAAGCAAACCAACCAAGATTTAGCGCCATCTGGTACCGCTGTAAATAGACTAGGTTTCAAAGTCATAAACCAAAACACGATCTCGGGGTCAGGGAGCATGTCGATAAGGCCACGAAGTAGAAAAGCGCAAGCAAATGACACCACTTGTGCAGCACCGAGCTTTTACACCCCTGTTGACAAACATGCCCTTCCATTTCGAGCGCAAAACCACTCTAGTCCGCTATATAAACCCATGAGATATAGGAATAGGATCAAGAAGAGACACAAGCAACTGAAGTTCATGAGATCTAGTCTGCTATATAAACCCATGAGACCTACAACTGGGACCAAGAAGAGACACAAGCAACTGAAAAGTGCCTGCTCTTTTCGCAAAAAAAATGAAAAAAAATGAAGTGCCTGCTCGTCACCTCGGCAGTCGCCGCCCTTGCCCTTCTCCACATTGCCGCTGTAGGCGCCGGCCTGAAAGTCCGATTCTACAGTAAGAGCTGCCCATTGGCAGAGAACCTGGTTCAGCAGGCAATCACTGCTGTCTGGTGTCGCCGCTGCCGTCATTCGGTTGCGTTTCCACGACTGTTTTGTCAAAGTATGTACGCGGCATTTACTTTCTTATACCTGCACTATCAACAGGTAAGCCTGAGTTCTATGTTCACCGTAACACCAAAAGGAATCCTTCTTTGCACCCCCTAGTTAGATTTATTTATAAACTGCAAGAGAAGTGTCAGTTCTTCTGCAGCATGCCACACAGAAGTGTAAAAGTATTCAGGAACATTTATTATTGTCACATATATGTACTGTATAATGTAGTAGGAAATGCGGTTCCTTCCTTTAATCAACATATATTTGGCTAGAGATCGTCATAGACAGATAGATGCAGACAAGATGATTCATTTGCATCAATGAAATATTTCAATGATCAATCATATATTTGCTCTGTCAAAACTCCCAACAGAGAGGCAAAGATTATTTAATGGCACACATTTTCGTTGAAGTTTCAAT